TAAGCTTTATGAACATAAGCTTTCGTGAGCTACAGCTCACTTCATTGGATGCATGCATTTTCCACTGCATGCATCAGATGAAGTGAACTGTAGCAGCAATGCAAGGAATTCCAGAGTGAGCACACTATATTCTCTCAAAAGAGGTAAAAGCCAGAAAAAGTGTATAACACACATTTCGCCAGTGCCCACAAAAAAATTTAAGTAAATAATGATACAGCAGGTGGAATGTTTTCATTTAACGTGTAAGTTCCACCACTGTTGAATAGTTAGCAGTTTTAACTAGGATGATGTTAAGTTTTTATTCATATGACATGCCAACAGCAAAATCTACTCCGATCCTTGCCAATCAGAGACTGAATGGAAGACTAACCTCAAAGGAATTCATTTTACTGGACAGGAAGATTCTTTCCTTTATGAAGAGGTTAGGGTACACTAAATCCTACTCTCAGAGCATACATTCTATGTAGCACTGTATTTTAATAGCTTTTCCGACCAATGGACTATTAAGGTCAAGTTGGCTGAGGACCTACAGTCTCTATTTTTCTAAATAAATGATCCATTAAACATTGTTAAGAAGAAACACACTCAAAAATTACTTAGATAGCTGCAGCCCATTATCAGATGTAGTCATGAATATATAGATATTATTAACAATTTGCAATTTTATTAATTGACCCATTAGAATCTTTACTTGAAATGAAACAGAAGAAAAATAAAGGAACAAAATAATAGATATTCTTTATACTTATTTGCTTAGGTAGAGCTTTACAGGAGTATATCTTTTCAGATGGAGAGACTGAAATATACAGAGAGACAGAAAAAACTGACTGTCTACTTTACAAAGGCAACGAATGAGATAAAATAATTAATGGCATAAAGAAGACAAATCAGGAATATCTGTTCCCCTTGCGTCAAAGGAACAAGGGGACAATCCATGAAATTAAAAGGTGGCAAATTCAAAAATCGATAAAAAGAAACTTTTTCATACAGTGTATACTTCAACTGGATTTCATTGCCACAGGAATTCCTTCAGGACAAGAACTTAGAAAGATTCAAAAAAGGATTGGACACTTATATGGCTATCAAGAATAGACAATTAACAATTAATTTTGGAAGTGATACTAAACCTCATACATTAGGGCTTAAGCCACTCTCTAACAATTAGCCATCAGGATGTGGCCTAATATGGGGGGGGGCAGATTATCCCACTTCTGCTTACTGTAGGGTTCCTACACCTTCCTCTGAAGCATCTGGTGCTGGCAACTGTCTGAGACAGGGTACTGGCCTACCTTTGCCTACCACAGGTCTGGTACAGTGTACCAATTCCTTTCTTCCTATGTTTGCATAACAGAAGTTCAGTTCTGCTATGTCTATCTTTTCTTGGCCCCGCCCCAAAAAAGAATGTTTAACTTTATGTTTTATCTAACTCTGTTCACACAAGGGAGATCTCTAACTTTTGGATCATCCTGGGAAAGGACGTGTTCCTGTGTTATTACTTTTAACCATACTGATTATGTTTATACTGTAATATAACTCACTTTAGCTTAACCAAGCATTGTAATTAATGTTGATTCCATAGCACAGCTATGGTTATTGTGTGTTTCATAAGATGCATTTTTTGCTGATATTGAGGGGGGGAGGGGGGAGATTCCCTCTGTGTATGTGAACTTCTTGTGGTAAATAAAAGCTCACAGTGTAGGATGGGGGAAACTAGCAATATTTTCCCCTTCTTCCCCCACAGCCCTAAGAGCCAGAGAGCAGAAGTAGCAGGTTAGGGGGCTGAGAAGGCCTGGCCCATCTGAAGACCAAAAGCACTAGCAGGTGGCATCACTGGTGGACCAAGGGTCATCCTTACTCCCCTGAGCACCTGAAAAGGAGTGGCATTAGTTGTGTAAGAGCGGGAGACAGGCCAACAAAATGATAAGCTGGGAAAAATTACCAAACTCCCCAGAAAAACTCGACGATGGAATAAGATAAAAGATTTAGGGAGTTCAATGTATTTTAGGGTAGGTTGGATAAATCAGGTTTATACTGAAAAGCCAGCCTGAATCCTAACTAACTACTGAACAGCTGCTACTATTCCATAATATTTTAAAAAAGTTTCCGTGTCTCCCTTTCCGCTCCTACATCAGTTAACCATTCCTGGCTTCATTCTACTCTCTCTGCTTCTCTCTATGATGTCCCCTCTTATGAATCTCCCTTCTAAATATATAGCTCCACATTTTTCATTCTCTCCATGAATGAAAGTCTCTCCCTGCCTGTAAGGGATTTTGCCAACATTCATTTGAGATAATGTGTGTAACTCAATTGATGGGTGCACCACTTGTGAATAAACGTAGCCACCTCAAACACATGCCAATACAGCCTCTATACTATATAATGTGTTTTACATACACATACATGCACATCTATAGCCAAATAGAATATACGATGGTGAGAGGATACATAAAACATTTTATTGACTTCTGCTTGGGTTCACCATATTACCCATGAGCTGTGAAGCCACTACATTCTAGGTAGGGAAAGAATATATGAAGATAGTATAAAGTTTTTGTTGGCACAACTTTAAGGTGATCATATAACTCCTTTCTGGCACAGGTACAAGCTAGAAATAAATGGCAATAAGAAATATACAACACTCCATATTAATATATATTTTCTTCATGGCTCTTATTTTGTTTTCTATGTCCTTTGGATTTTTTTTAACCACTGAAGGGTTTCTGAAGTTACACTTTGATAAAAGCAGTGAGCAAGTACCATGTGGATTATAAAACTAAGCCACCTATAAGGATTTCAAACCTTAACTATTAGTACAGCTGTTTGTAAGATAACGATAACTGTGTTTCTCAGCAACTTTCAGTGTTTTCTAATAGCCCATCGACTTCAGTAGGGCCAGAATTTCACCCAGAGTGGGATTGTTTCCATTGATTTAAATGTGTTTTGGATCAAGTCCTAATAGCCTTTTCAGAGGCAAACGGTATTTTTCATCTCACAGTATACACTCAAATTTACAGGGTGATTGAATAGTTTACAAGTTTAAAACAAAAGTATTACTGTGTGTATATTGATGTATATATTTATTTGTGTACTTCTATAATATTTAAATAAAAAAGTAATGTTCTATATAGGCGTATACTGAAAATGCCTAACTGCTCACTGTGGTCAGCTTTGTACCTAATCTAGGGGGACAAAAAGCAATTAATGTGTAATACAGTCTTCAGTAATTACATTAATGAACAGCTGTTATACTGAGCATGAGCAAATGGAAACATTTTCACTCATCCAACTTGAACAGGAAGAAACTGTGGGGAAGCTTTTTGCCTCGAATATTTAGGGATTTGCTAAAGACATAATCAATGTATACTTTCTAGCTAGATTATTTGAGAGTTTTGGACCAGAGTAAAAATAAAAATTACCCACTACTGTTCCAAGAAAGATAAACGAAGTATAGAGGAAAGGGTCATAAAAACAGGTGGAGATGTCAAGGCGGTGACTCTGTTATTAACACTATATTGTGTCTATCAACACAATACAATGTGTTGATTTACATATAACTGTCCACTATTGGCTCTCTAAACTCACCATAATTTATTCAGTTAATTTCTTGTAGGTGACACAGAAGAAGCGATCTGAATGCAAAGTGGAGAGCGCCCTTCCAGACCAGCTCAGGAAAATAACCACTAGGAGCAGTGTGGAAGAAAGCATGAAGACACTTATGGGAGAAGCGGACAAATAGAATGGTGAGCCTGGTGTCATTGGCAGAGAGAGCAGGAAGGCAACATGAAAAGCATAAAGTAATGTTTAGTATCAGGGGGTAGCCGTGTTAGTCTGTATCCACAAAAACAACAAGGAGTCCAGTTTTCAGAGTAACAGCCGTGTTAGTCTGTATTCGCAAAAAGAAAAGGAGTACTTGTGGCACCTTAGAGACTAACCAATTTATTTGAGCATGAGCTTGCACCTTATAGACTAACAGATTTATTTGGGCATAGGCTTTCGTGGCCTAGAACCCACTTCATCGGACGCATGGAGTGAAAATGACCAATGCGGGCATTATTATACTGACACATGAAGAGAAGGGAGTTGCCTCACAAGCGGAGAACCAGTGTTGACAGGGCCAATTCGATCAGGGTGGATGCAGTCCACTCCCAATAATAGATGAGGTGGTATCAATTCCAGGAGAGGCTTTTGTAAGGAGCTGGCCACTCCCAGTCCCTATTCAGGCCGAAATTAATGGTGTTAAATTTGCAAATCAATTTTAGTTCTGCAGTTTCTCTTTGAAGTCTGGTTCTGAAGTTTTTTTGTTCAAGTATAGCTACTTTTAAATATGTTATAGAATGTCCAGGAAGATTGAAGTGTTCTCCTACTGGCTTTTGTATGTTACCATTCCTGATGTCCGATTTGTGTCCATTTATTCTTTTCTGTAGGGACTGTCCGGTTTGGCCAATGTACATAGCAGAGGGGCACTGCTGGCACATGATGGCATATATAACATTAGTAGACGTGCAGGTGAATGAGCCTCTGATGGCGTGGCTGATGTGGTTGGGTCCTCTGATGGTGTCGCTAGAGTAGATATGGGGACAGAGTAGGCAACGAGGTTTGCTACAGGGATTGGTTCCTGGGTTAGTGTTAGTGGTGTGGTGTGTGGTTGCTGGTGAGTATTTGCTTCAGGTTGGGGAGCTGTCTGTAAGCGAGGACTGGTCTGCCTCCCAAGGTCTGTGAGAGTGAGGGATCGTTTTCCAGCATAATGTTTGTTTCCAGGAAATGTTTGTTTTCCTGATCACATTATGGGTCATGGTCTATCATGAAAGTACGCTAACCTCTATCAAATACCCATGATTAATGGGTACAGGACAAAACAGAAAGCTTAATTGTAGGGACACTTTATAAATAATTTTCTCTACCATCGGATTGTCACTGGTGATTGGAAATAGAAAGTTTTTCACAGTACTCACTCCCCTAGTAACCAAATTAACAACAGAAAATTCTCTCCGACTGCTTACCTCTTTTGCACTTTTAATTTTGGCCAGGAATGTGTACAACTCCATTGTTTCAGCAAACAGTGCCCGACATACTGCCTGATAGTGGTTTGGCGCCTCTGATCGGGTTGGTAGATGGGCAGCACACAACTAGGGAGGAAAATAAAAATTGTTATATATAGACACATACACAGCTGCTTTTACTAACACAACACAGGTAGGAACCGACTGTACTTACAGAGTAGCATCCAAATGTTCCCTGGACATATTGACGTCAGTTTATTTTTTTAACCAATGATAGTTTCTATTATACATTGTTTTCAAGATTCTGCAACCTAAAATAGAGATGCACTTAACTTCAGGCAGCAATTAAAGTACATTTCTTTACTTTTCTGCTGCCTTTTCGTTTTTGTAGGAAAAGTTCTGAGAGTGAAGGAGAGATTAGGAGACATTCAAAAAGACGCCGTCACTTCCTGGAAAACTTTGGGTATGTCTACACTACGGAATAAGGTCGAATTTATAGAAGTCGGTTTTTTAGAAATCGGTTTTATATATTCGAGTGTGTGTGTCCCCACAGAAAATGCTCTAAGTGCATTAAGTGCATTAACTCGGCGGAGCGCTTCCACAGTACCGAGGCTAGAGTCGACTTCCGGAGCATTGCACTGTGGGTAGCTATCCCACAGTTCCCGCAGTCTCCGCTGCCCATTGGAATTCTGGGTTGAGATCGCAATGCCTGATGGGGCTAAAACATTGTCGCGGGTGGTTCTGGGAACATATCGTCAGGCTTTTCTAAAAGTCGGGAGTTCCCTCCATCCCTCCGTGAAAGCAAGGGCAGACAATCGTTTCGCGCCTTTTTTCCTGAGTTACCTGTGCAGACGCCATACCACGGTAAGCATGGAGCCCGCTCAGGTAACCGTCACCCTATGTCTCCTGGGTGCTGGCAGACGCGGTGCGGCTTTGCTACACAGTAGCAGCAACCCATTGCCTTCTGGCAGCAGACGGTGCAGTATGACTAGTAGTCGTCCTCGTCATGTCCGAGGTGCTCCTGGCCACGTCGGCTGGGAGCGCCTGGGCAGACATGGGCGCAGGGACTAAATTTGGAATGACTTGACCAGGTCATTCTCTTTAGTCCTGCAGTCAGTCCTATTGAACCGTCTTATGGTGAGCGGGCAGGAGACGAGGATTGCTAGCAGTTGTACTGTACCATCTTCTGTCAGGCAGGCAAGAGATGAGGATGGCTAGCAGTCGTACTGTACCATCTTCTGCCGAGCAGCCATGAGATGTGGATGGCATGCAGTCCTTCTGCACCGTCTGCTGCCAGCCAAAGATGTAAAAGATAGATGGAGTGGGTCAAAACAAGAAATAGACCAGATTTGTTTTGTACTCATTTGCCTCCTCCCCTGTCTAGGGGACTCATTCCTCTAGGTCACACTGCAGTCACTCACAGAGAAGGTGCAGCGAAGTAAATCTAGCCATGTATCAATCAGAGGCCAGGCTAACCTCCTTGTTCCAATAAGAACGATAACTTAGGTGCACCATTTCTTATTGGAACCCTCCGTGAAGTCCTGCCTGAAATACTCCTTGATGTAAAGACACCCCCTTTCTTGATTTTAGCTCCCCGAAGCCAACCCTGTAAGCCGTGTCCTCAGTCGCCCCTCCCTCCATCAGAGCAACGGCAGACAATTGTTCCGCGCCTTTTTTCTGTGCGGACGCCGTACCAAGGCAAGCATGGAGGCCGCTCAGCTCACTTTGGCAATTAGGAGCACATTAAACACCACACGCATTATCCAGCAGTATATGCAGCACCGGAACCTGGCAAAGCAATACCGGGCGAGGAGGCGACGTCAGCGCGGTCACGTGAGTGATCAGGACATGGACACAGATTTCTCTGAAAGCATGGGCCCTGCCAATGCATGCATCATGGTGATAATGGGGCAGGTTCATGCTGTGGAACGCCGATTCTGGGCTCGGGAAACAAGCACAGACTGGTGGGACCGCATAGTGTTGCAGGTCTGGGACGATTCCAAGTGGCTGCGAAACTTTCGCATGCGTAAGGGCACTTTCATGGAACTTTGTGACTTGCTTTCCCCTGCCCTGAGGCGCATGAATACCAAGATGAGAGCAGCCCTCACAGTTGAGAAGCGAGTGGCGATAGCCCTGTGGAAGCTTACAACGCCAGACAGCTACCGGTCAGTTGGGAATCAATTTGGAGTGGGCAAATCTACTGTGGGGGCTGCTGTGATGCAAGTAGCCCACGCAATCAAAGATCTGCTGATATCAAGGGTAGTGACCCTGGGAAATGTGCAGGTCATAGTGGATGGCTTTGCTGCAATGGGATTCCCTAACTGTGGTGGGGCCATAGACGGAACCCATATCCCTATCTTGGCACCGGAGCACCAAGCCGCCGAGTACATAAACCGCAAGGGGTACTTTTCGATAGTCCTGCAAGCTCTGGTGGATCACCAGGGACGTTTCACCAACATCAACGTGGGATGGCCGGGAAAGGTGCATGATGCTCGCATCTTCAGGAACTCTGGTCTGTTTCAAAAGCTGCAGGAAGGGACTCTATTCCCAGACCAGAAAATAACTGTTGGGGATGTTGAAATGCCTATATGTATCCTTGGGGACCCAGCCTACCCCTTAATGCCATGGCTCATGAAGCCGTACACAGGCAGCCTGGACAGTAGTCAGGAGCTGTTCAACTACAGGCTGAGCAAGTGCAAAATGGTGATAGAATGTGCATTTGGACGTTTAAAGGCGCGCTGGCGCAGTTTACTGACTCGCTTAGACCTCAGCGAAACCAATATTCCCACTGTTATTACTGCTTGCTGTGTGCTCCACAATATCTGAGAGAGTAAGGGGGAGACGTTTATGGCGGGGTGGGAGGTTGAGGCAAATTGCCTGGCTGCTGGTTACGCGCAGCCAGACACCAGGGCGGTTAGAAGAGCACAGGAGGGCGCGGTACGCATCAGAGAAGCTTTGAAAACCAGTTTCATGACTGGCCAGACTACGGTGTGAAAGTTCTGTTTGTTTCTCCTTGATGAAACCCCCCGCCCCTTGGTTCACTCTACTTCCCTGTAAGCTAACCACCCGCCCCTCCTCCCTTCAATCACTGCTTGCAGAGGCAATAAAGTCATTGTTGCTTCACATTCATGCATTCTTTATTCATTCATCACACAAATAGGGGGATGACTACCAAGGTATCCCAGGAGGGGTGGTGGAGGAGGGAAGGAAAATGCCACACAGCACTTTAAGCACAGCACTTTAAAAGTTTACAACTTTAAAATTTATTGAATGACAGCCTTCTTTTTTTTGGGCAATCCTCTGTGGTGGAGTGGCTGGTTGGCCGGAGGCCCCCCCACCGCGTTCTTGGGCGTCTGGGTGTGGAGGCTATGGAACTTGGGGAGGAGGGCGGTTGGTTACAGAGGGGCTGCAGTGGCAGTCTGTGCTCCAGCTGCCTTTGCTGCAGCTCAACCATACACTGGAGCATACTGGTTTGGGTCCTGCAGCAGCCTCAGCATTGAATCCTGCCTCCTCTCATCACGCTGCCACCACATTTGAGCTTCAGCCCTGACTTCAGCCCGCCACTTACTCTCTTCAGCCCGCCACCTCTCCTCCCTGTCATTTTGTGCTTTCCTGCACTCTGACATTATTTGTCTCCACGTATTCGTCTGTGCTCTGTCAGTGTGGGAGGACAGCATGAGCTCGGAGAACATTTCATCACGAGTGCGTTTTTTTTTCTTTCTAAGCTTCACTAGCCTCTGGGAAGGAGAAGATCCTGTGATCATTGAAACACATGCAGCTGGTGGAGAAAAAAAAAGGGACAGCGGTATTTAAAAAGACACATTTTATAAAACAGTGGCTACACTCTTTCAGGGTAAACCTTGCTGTTAACATTACATACATAGCACATGTGCTTTCATTACAAGGTCGCATTTTGCCTCCTCCCACCGCGTGACTACCCCCTCAACCTTCCCCCCTCCCTGTGGCTAACAGCGGGGAACATTTCTGTTTAGCCACAGGCAAACAGCCCAGCAGGAACGGTCTCCTCTGAGTGTCCCCTGAAGAAAAGCACTCTATTTCAACCAGGTGACCATGAATTATATCTCACTCTCCTGAGGATAACACAGAGAGAGAAAGAACGGATGTTGTTTGAATGCCAGCAAACATACACTGCAATGCTTTGTTGATTCCCGAGTACGTGTTACTGGCCTGGAGTGGTAAAGTGTCCTACCATGAAGGACGCAATAAGGCTGCCCTCCCCAGAAACCTTTTGCAAAGGCTTTAGGACTACATCTAGGAGAACCGCAAATGCCAGGGCAAAGTAATCCTTTCACATGCTTGCTTTTAAACCATGTATAGTATTTTAAAAGGTACACTCACCAGAGGTCCCTTCTCCGCCTGCTGGGTCCAGGAGGCAGCCTTGGGTGGGTTCGGGGGGTACTGGCTCCAGGTCCAGGGTGAGAAACAGTTCCTGGCTGTCGGGAAAACTGGTTTCTCCGCTTGCTTGCTGTGAGCTATCTACAACCTCCTCATCATCATCATCTTCTTCGTCCCCAAAACCTGCTTCCGTATTGCCTCCATTTCCATTGAAGGAGTCGAACAACACGGCTGGGGTAGTGGTGGCTGAACCCCCTAAAATGGCATGCAGCTCATCATAGAAGCGGCATGTTTGGGGCTCTGACCCGGAGCAGCCGTTCGCCTCTCTGGTTTTTTGGTAGGCTTGCCTCAGCTCCTTCAGTTTCACGTGGCACTGCTTCGGGTCCCTGTTATGGCCTCTGTCCTTCATGCCCTGGGAGATTTTGACAAAGGTTTTGGCATTTCGAAAACTGGAATGGAGTTCTGATAGCACGGATTCCTCTCCCCAAACAGCGATCAGATCCCGTACATCCCGTTCGGTCCATGCTGGAGCTCTTTTGCGATTCTGGGACTCCATCATGGTCACCTCTGCTGATGAGCTCTGCATGGTCACCTGCAGCTTGCCACGCTGGCCAAACAGGAAATGAGATTCAAAAGTTCGCGGTTCTTTTCCTGTCTACCTGGCCAGTGCATTGAGTTGAGAGTGCTGTCCAGAGCGGTCATAATGGAGCACTCTGGGATAGCTCCCGGAGGCCAGTACCATCGAATTGTGTCCACAGTACCCCAAATTC